CCTATCGAAAGATACTGGGCAATAATTAAACGGCATCTTAAGAAAGATGGAATAGAAGCAAGCTCTGTGGACTACTTTAAGAAAATTTGGTCTGCAGCACAACGGAAAGTTAAGAAGAAGGTTGTGCAGAATCTAATGGGCCGGATCAAGAGAAAAGTCCGAGCGTTCTTCAGAAATAAGAAGTAAACATTCAAACTCACGTGAAATCGGATATATGTATGTTGATTTTCATTTATATAAAGTAAACTTATGAATTTGTTCACAAATAAATATTTTCCTTTGAGAAACAGGTGTCTACTTTCATTAATGAACAGTCCTTACAATTAGTGATTTTAGCTGTAAGGAGCAATCGCGATGAGTCAGCGCTCATCGTTATAGCTAATCCCTAATTGAGATACTCTGTGTCCTATACCACATAACATTACGTGGAACTTCGTGCTAATTAACTGGCTAAAAGATGACCCCTTTTTGTGTTGTTGTTGTTGTTGTGGTACAATTGGTATAGTTGGCCATCGATCTGTCAAAATACAATTTTCGTGATAACAACACTGAGCGTACATAAGGACCAATTTCAAAAACGTAAACAACTGTTTCTTTCGTGAATTTCTCGTAGTTCAAATTCAATCCGATTCTATCGGAAAGGAGGACTCTTCCTCTACACAATCGTCGTGGTGGTTTACTTGAGTGGTTTGTCATGCTCGAGAAAATCGTGGAAATGAAAGCAGATATATGGTTGCATGCTCAGTAGGCATTGACGAGGACGACGACTCTGCAACTCTTTACTCCTATGGTAAAATCCCACAAGCATCGGCCAGTCTGTACATGAAGTCTAGCGGACTTTGTCTTATCTCTTCACTCCACCATGGTACCAGTGAGCCGCCGTCTTTTCACGCATAGATTGACAGTATCTTATGGGATTTTCATAAGAGTGGAAGGGTAGGGAAATTTCCACCATGTTTCATGCACAGACTGACGTTTGCTGATGATATTTTACCATAAGAGCACAGAGAACAGACATCCAAGTCAAATTCCTAAAGTGTGTAAGAAAATTAAACTGCTAGTTTGAATAGACATTTGAAATTAGCAATATCGTGGTGGCGCTAGTGTCGCTGCCCATCGACGTCTATGACCGGCAGACGTCATTTTAATATAAATGTCAAAATTGTTGTGAGCAAAACATTGTTTGTTTAAAACCTATCAAAACATGGGCCGTAAGTGCGAGTTTCATTGGTCCACAAATAAATAAGGTGTTACCAAGCGGAAATCTTTTCACAATTTTCCTAAGGATGCTAAATTGCCCGAGCTAGAGGAGATTTTCTTCTCACGTGGAGTCCAACCACTTTCAACGACACATTTATATTCAGACCACTTCCTCCCGCAGGTTTTTCGAATTCATGGATGAACGGATGCATGGTATTTTTTTTTCCTTTGGTTTATTTTTTCCGTCGATCTTGTTTTCCGTGCTGAGCACCAATGCTACCGACGTGCCAGGAAGGCAGCTCCCACACCTGGACTCTACCTATCGACCCATCAACGCATGAACCGGGGACCAACGGCTTTACTTCCCATCCGAAGGAACGCGTGATCAGAGATGTTATGCGTCAGAACATCCCGGCGGCGCCGACTGGGATTGAACCCAGGCCTGCTGGGGTGAGAGGTAATCACGCTTACCACTACACCACCGGCGCCTTTCGGATGCATGGTAAGCAGTGTTCAAATCTTACTACATTTTTCTGAATTTAAATGAGGGCTAATTAGAGTTCACACCTTCACTCAATCATTTGAAGATGCGCCGCCAGTGAACTTAAAAAAAAGAGTCAGTTTTGCTCCTGACTGCTATGCTCAGTCAAAATATGAACGAAAACCGGTTGTAGATCTACCGGAAACTGTAAAAGAGCTTAGTATTTTATTCCAAAATAATGGTTCCGCAGAAACTCGATTGATTTCCATTGTTTTGTCATGTTTGTTTTGAACTGATTTGACAGTTCATTTGGATACACGGTCAATAAGATCAACCCAAAGTTTAGTTCAGATAACTCATTAATCGCACTTTAAAGCTGGGTTTAAACAGGGCAAGTCAATTGATCAAGTCAGTTGAATTCAACTGACTTGAACGCGAATTGAACGTGTAAACCATGCCATTCAACTGACTTGATCAACTCACTTGAATTGAAAAAAGTTGAACCAGGCTCAACTTTGCAAGCCAATTGAATTCAACTGAGTTGATCATTTAACTTGCCTAGTCTAAACCCAGCATAACTCAAGTCGCAACATTCCGTATGGTGGCGCTAGTGTTTAAACGTATTTTAATTTTAATTCTTACACTTAATGTTTCGATAAATTTGTTTAAGCTTGGATGTCTGTTCTCTGTGATAAGAGTAAAGAGTTACAGAGTGGCGGAAAAGGTGAATTATAAATTGCCATGGCAATGCGGCCATTCTTTTTTCGACTAGCTCTACGGGGGGCTTATCAAAGGATTTTTAACGTAGGACTACGTCAGTGATTTCTATATGGGGGTACACTTTGTGAAAACCAAAAATGGAAGAAGTAACAAAATTATGAAAGATTTTGAATGCTAATAACGCAGCTGCCCCTGGACCAATTTCAATAATTTTATCACCAATCGATCAGATATATTTCTACGGATCTGTCAAATCTAAGATTTAATAATTTTTTTTATAATGTCACTATTGAAGCTGGAATTAGGGCGTAACAGCTTTTGTTAACAATGCCTTCTTTGAGATGATGTCTTCAAGGTCAAGGCTCGCCCACGCAAATCAACATCACCGTTAGGTAGGGTAAGACTTCCTCTACCCGACAGCAACGTTAGTTTGCGTGGTCGTACCTTGAATTCCTAAAAATCATCGAGAGAAGTCATTGTTTACAAAAGCTGTTATGCCTAATTCCAGCTCTATCTGGATATGTTTAAATCTAACATACCATGTACTTTAAGGCACCATTGGGGGTGATATTTCAAAAACCAAAGTCGGTCGCGGCATGAAAGTGGTCTGATTTTGATCCAGAAATGATGGCCAATCGATAGAAATATTGCACGAATGTGCAACTGTTGCTATGATAATTAAAATTATCACCGATTGCCTGCGAAAAGCGATTTCCCTAACACAGATTTCAAAGTTGAATTCCATCCGGTCTCACCAAACGGTGTTTATTCAATCACCGCGTGGTAAGTGGTGGTGTTCTCCAATACACAACGAAAGACTGCCTGCAAGCAGCGAGCTGCAGCCCACATGAGCATGCACAAAAGGAGAAAGAATCTACACTGCTATTGATCGGAATCAATAGCTCGCCGTGAGTCGTCAAGCGCGTCAGAGAGAACCCCGCTCAAATTCCTATTCCTACTCAAAACACAAGCTCCTGCTGCAGTTAACAAATAAGATTTATTATATAAGACCACGTAGTCCTCCGTCTCCATTGCGTACAACCCCATTGGGCTGTCCCTTGTAGTTTTAACTAGTATTTTCAAGTCGGTCAGAAGCCAATCAAGAGATCTATTAACCAATAATGTTGCCTATTTACAAATGTAATATTTCTTCGTCTCTTCGACCTGGTTGAATTGCATTGTATTCATTACAGAAATTACGTTAATTGAATGCTACTTACTGCAACCAATTTGTAGATTCAAGGATTGTTGTATGTTGGAAAATGGTTCACTGTTCTTTTAGTAAGCCAACTTGTGAACGTTTTGATTGCATCACGAAATATTCTGTCGATGGATGTTAACGTTTGTATTAAAAAAGTTGATTTTTTTTTCTAAAAAGGCTAGAAATAAAACTAGGGTAAGTGTTCCAGTTTCTGATCCTTTAGCCGTTCCTGGTAACTTTGAGACTGCTAGCTGGAAGTCCCAGACTGGGACCTTAGTCATGCTGTTAGGATCGCCTTTTGGCTTTTCGATCAACTTTTCCACGTTTTTTAGTACAACGTAATTGAAGTAGAGCTTTGTGTTGGGATTTGAGCAATAATGTTCATTTGACCGCAGTTGAGAAACATATCGAGGCATGAATCCTTGGGTATTACAGGTCAAAATTCTTGTGAATGGAACGATGGTCAGCATAAACCGCAAAATTTTGCTTACAGCTGGTATAATCAATTTGACAGATCGATGGCCTACTATATCACTTGAAATTACTGAAATGGGGTCGATTTTTGATAGTCGAAATCCACATATCAAGACCAACAATTGAAATGGCCTCAACTCCATTTTGTAAACAAACCTTGTAATGCCATTTTCTCGCGAACCGAAACCTACATTCGCAAACCTACACCACAATCGGGTAGAGGAGAATTTCCCCTACCTGTTCATTCTGTTGTTTTGCCTTGGCGGACTTCGGTTCGCGAGAAAATGGCCTTACAAGGTTTGTTTACAAAATGGAGTTGAGACCTTTTCAATTGTTGGTCTTGATATGTTATGTGTCTATACGTTCTCTTTCTGCATCTTACAAATATAAAATATCGTTATAATATCTAATAGTTTCATAATTCCGAATAACATAATTTTAGCAGTGATGAGCAATTGCTTGTCTACAAGTCTAAGAAAGTCAATAACAAATACTCATCATTAACACGGACTAGCAATTCACTAAATATGAATTTGCAAAGACTTGTAAAATCCTGAGAAAATTCTCCTTTGAGGGAGCACTAATTAGGAAACTAGTTACATTTTTTGCTAAAAAATACTTAACTTTGCTGGAACAGATAAATGCAGCAAAGATTAAAAGCCTAACTGATTAAAATTACAGCCTGATCACTCGAAGCAAAGAACTAGATATTGAATCAAGTGCCATCTATATAAATGTTTCAATCCCACCTCAAATACGACTTTCAATAAAACTCACTGTGAAACGAGTATCATTCCGATTGATTGCTAAAAATGCACTCTCACACACCCCCCATTGAAATCATGTTTTACATGTTACGAAAAACCGAAACACGCTTTTCCGAGAAACCCTCCCTCGCCCACACCACCCAACCTAACAACTCACCGAAGGTGCCCTGCTATTTCGCAGTGTCGCATAATCCGACATTTCTCCGCTCAGACCGCCTGCAGGGCCACCACCGCTGCCGCCGCCGCCGCCGCCAACGCCAATCCCACTGGTGCCCAGCACCGTGCTCAGATTGGACGCATAATTGCGTGGCTGGATGGTGGCGTACGTGTTATCGCCACCCCCCTGGGACAGTTCCGGGTACGAGTCCCGTCGATCCAGCCCGAGGACCAACGCTTGCTCCTGCTGTTGCATCTGCTGCTGCTGCTGGTGCTGGTGGTGGTGGCTGGCCATCGACGAGGATGTGTTGTTCGAGTTGTTCAGATGCTGGTGCTGTTGCTGTTGCTGTTGCGTCAGTTCCGGCTCGGAAAACACTTGCATCGTCAGTTCCTGCTCTTCGTAGAGCTTTAATTTTCTGATGGTGGAGACAGAAAAGAGGAAATCGAAAATCGATTGTGAGTCTACTGGAACAAAAAAAAAAAGAAAAAAGGAATGCTTGGTCCTATTGACTTACTGCTCAATCCAAAGTGGATTCTCGGTCGTATTTAAATCTTCGATAATCTGCTTTTTGATCAGGGCGTCCTTTCTTCTGGTCTCGTTTGGAATCGTGATGACCCTGTTTGCGTAGGTGAGAGTGGGTGGGAAAATGAAATGGAATAGGAAATGCGGAAATACGTTCAGCACAAAGCGCTTTTGATTTTGCACTTTAATTACAGCTTAAAGAATGCAAAATCGAAAACAGAGTCTGGAACGGTACTTACCAATGCTTGAGACAGCAGCACAGTACGATGAAGCTTACGGCACCGACAAACAGCACTATCAGAAGAGCGATTATCGCAGCCAGGGCCAGGTCGAACTCGTCCTGTACGTTGGTTGCGTAAGCCGGGACCACGTTCTCGATCGAAAAGCCGGCATTGTAATCCTGTGTATCGAGGTACAAAGCGAGATAAAATGCATATCGTTATAAGTGAAGTGGATGAGCTCGGGTGCAGTGACAGGATGGGCTCTCAATGGGTATCAGACCATACCAGGACTCTGAAGCGGGTTTGTGATGATGCTTCAGGGCTGTGCATGGTCACACACACACACTCTTCAATTATACAGGAAGGGGTGGGGGGGGTCGTTTGAGACCATTAATGACATCGTCATTGTTTTATGCTTTGTGTGTTTGTGTGGCCGAAGCGAATCGGTTCAATTTTAATGGATGCTTGGTGCAGCGCATTTGCATTTTAAACGTTATTTACATTGAATGCGTTATTTGGAAGCGTCACTCAGGGAATGACTGATTTAAAGTGCCTTTAATGATTGATTGAATAATAATTACCAGAATGATTTTTTACATCTCGCGTCCATTCCTAACTCACCTGTAGAAAGTCGTACTTGGCGTCGATCTCGCGCAGAATCTCCTCCACCGGGACGATCGTCTGCGAGCTCATATCGATCGCATGGAAGTACATATCGCACCAATCCATCCGGATCCGCCCGAGGCCGTCCACGTGGTACCGGATCTCGTCCACAATGATCAGCTTCTGCGTCGCATTCGACAGCTCCGAGATGATCTCGTCCCGCTCCATGTGCACCTCGGACGGTGGCCGGGACAGAATCACCCGCACCAATTGTTCCGGATTGAAGATCCAAACGTACACCTTGGCGGTAGCAACCCGCTCCGGCGATTCGACCTCCTTCGCCACCACTTCCAAGATAAACCGATCCTGATTGTACTCCGCCATGTAGTTGGCCGTCGTTATGCGGCCATCCCTGCTGATTGCGAACGGACTCGGCACGATGCTTCCCGTCGTTTTTGTAGCACCATACTTGTACAGATAGGATCCACTGATGAAAAGCTCCATCGTTGAATTAACTCCCAAGTCGTTATCCGTAGCATTGACAACCGTTACCAGCTCGTTGATCGATGCCTTCGAACTCACGCCAGCATAGTAAACTTCCTGTTTGAACACCGGCGGATTGTCATTCACATCCAGCACCGTAATCCACACCTTCGCCACCGTACCGTCCCGCTCCAGCTTCTTGATGTTCATCATCATGCGATCCCGCGAGGTAATCAACAGATCCTGCTTCTTGCTAGCTTGTATGTACAGCGCGAAAACATCCGTGTCTTCCCGATCCAACGTCTTGTTGGTGTAGATATCGCCGGTGAGCTTGTCCACGTAGAACGCTCCGTCCTCGTTGCCCAGCAGCATGTAGTAGTAGATCTTCGGATCGGGACTATCGTAGAAGGCCTGAATCTTGCCGATTCGGATGTCCCGGGGGCTGTTCTCAGCGATGAAGAACTTGTACGGATTGGAAGCATCGGGGAACTCCGGGTGGTTTTCGTTGACATCCACCAGCAGAACGGTGAGGAAACGGAGCGTCTCGAACCAAGCCGGCGTTCCCTGGTCCCGGGCAACCAGTATCAGTTCGAAGCGGGATTGTTTCTTCCGATCCAGAGGCTTGCGGATGCGCAGTTCGCCGGACATCTCGTTGATGACGAACTCGTCCGTTTCCTGGACGTTCTGGTTGTTGACCTGAGGTGGTGGGTGGGGGGTAAAAATCGACATTAGATAGAGTTCTTTAAATAGCTATAGTTAAGGAGACCAAACAATATTCAAGAACACCAAGATTTTAAAGATCTGCTGGGTAAATCCAAGAAGCTCTTTCATGTGAAGATAAAAGCCTTCTAGGAAGAACCGAGAGGTTTTCTAGGAAAACTTGGAACGTGATCTGGGAAACCTCGGATTGTTTATCTGGAAAGACCTGGGAAGTCGTCAGGAAGTGTTTCCTACTCGGGACATCCCGGGAAATTTATCAATGAGGTTTTCTGGGAAGACCAATGAGATCTTCTGGGAAGACCAATGAGGTCTTCTGGGAAAATCAAAAAGGTCTTCTGGGAAAATCAAAAAGGTCTTATAGGAAGACCAATGCGGACTTCTGAAAAGACCAATGAGGTCTTCTAGGAAGACCCATGAGATCTTCTGGGAAGACCAATGAGGTCTTCTGGGAAGACCAATGAGGTCTTCTGGGAAGACCAATGAGGTCTTCTGGGAAGACCAATGAGGTCTTCTGGGAAGACCAATGAGGTCTTCTGGGAAGACCAATGAGATCTTCTGGGAAGACCAATGAGGTCTTCTGGGAAGACCAATGAGGTCTTCTGAGAAGACCAATGAGGTCTTCTGGGAAGACCAATGAGGTCTTCTGGGAAGACCAATGAGGTCTTCTGGGAAGACCAATGAGGTCTTCTGGGAAGACCAATGAGGTCTTCTGGGAAGACCAATGAGGTCTTCTGGGAAGACCAATGAGATCTTCTGGGAAGACCAATGAGATCTTCTGGGAAGACCAATGAGGTCTTCTGAGAAGACCAATGAGGTCTTCTGGGAAGACCAATGAGATCTTCTGGGAAGACCAATGAGGTCTTCTGGGAAGACCAATGAGGTCTTCTGGGAAGACCAATGAGGTCTTCTGGGAAGACCAATGAGGTCTTCTGGGAAGACCAATGAGGTCTTCTGGGAAGACCAATGAGGTCTTCTGGGAAGACCAATGAGGTCTTCTGGGAAGACCAATGAGGTCTTCTGGGAAGACCAATGAAGTCTTCTGGTAAGACCAATGAGGTCTTCTGGTAAGACCAATGAGGTCTTCTGGTAAGACCAATGAGGTCTTCTGGTAAGACCAATGAGGTCTTCTGGGAAGACCAATGAGGTCTTCTGGGAAGACCAATGAGGTCTTCTGGGAAGACCAATGAAGTCTTCTGGGAAGACCAATGAGGTCTTCTGGGAAGACCAATGAGGTCTTCTGGGAAGACCAATGAGGTCTTCTGGGAAGACCAATGAGGTCTTCTGGGAAGACCAATGAGGTCTTCTGGGAAGACCAATGAGGTCTTCTGGGAAGACCAATGAGGTCTTCTGGGAAGACCAATGAGGTCTTTTGTGAAGACCAATGAGGTCTTCTGGGAAGACCAATGAGGTCTTCTGGGAAGACCAATGAGGTCTTCTGGGAAGACAAATGAGGTCTTCTGGGAAGACAAATGAGGTCTTCTGGGAAGACCAATGAGGTCTTCTGGGAAGACCAATGAGGTCTTCTGGGAAGATCTATGACGTCTTCTGGGAAGACCAATGAGGTCTTCTGGGAAGACCAATGCGGTCTTCTGTGAAGACCAATGAGGTCTTCTGGGAAGACCAATGAGGTCTTCTGGGAAGACCAATGTTGTGGTGGATACGGCCCTGCGCAAGCAATGCGCAGACGGACGATAAAATGTATGTAAACAAAAAGATCAGCATAAACGCGATCACGCCACTCGGGCAGCGAACGCAGTTTGTGCTGATCCAGCAGAAAGGGTCACGTCCGCCACCGCTAGGTAGGTTAAGTTAGCATAAGAGAGAAGTAATAAAATGATTCTTAGTTCTGACACGGAGGCGAGCAGTTGAGTTGATTTTATCATACCGAAAGCCAAGTGGCTAATACTAACAGATAGAGGGACAACATATCATGGCGATCCTGCCAGGAGTTAGGTTCCAATATAAAGATCCAAATAGGGAATAACACGGATATCATTCATAAGGATCCTTGAGGAGTTAGGTTCCAATATAAAGATCCAAATAGGGAATAACACGGATATCATTCATAAGGATAGGATTAAAATTTTTTTAACTCGAAATAGTTTCTTAATGTGGAAACAACAATACCGAAAAAAAAAAAAAAAAAAAAAAAAAAAAAAAAAAAAAAAAAAAGAGAAAGATATTGCAAACACATTTTTATAACTAATACATCTATATTACAATTATATACAATTATTTTACACACATTTATATAGTAGACACAGTTATATTATACAAGTTTGGTACCAAAACACATCATAAATAATTCAAAAACATATTACAAACACATTTTCATAACTAATACATCTATATTACAATTATATACAATTATGTTACACACATTTATATAGTAAAACAATTATATTATACAATCTTGATACAAAAAAAAAAACTCAACATAAATAATTCAAAAACAATTTAAAAACTTATTCTGTTGAATAAATTTTTAAATTTCATTCGGATAGGGCGTGTGGTGGATACGGCCCTGCGCAAGCAATGCGCAGACGGACGATAAAATGTATGTAAACAAAAAGATCAGCATAAACGCGATCACGCCACTCGGGCAGCGAACGCAGTTTGTGCTGATCCAGCAGAAAGGGTCACGTCCGCCACCGCTAGGTAGGTTAAGTTAGCATAAGAGAGAAGTAATAAAATGATTCTTAGTTCTGACACGGAGGCGAGCAGTTGAGTTGATTTTATCATACCGAAAGCCAAGTGGCTAATACTAACAGATAGAGGGACAACATATCAATGTGATCTTCTGGGAAGACCAATGAGGTCTTCTGGGAAGACCAATGAGGTCTTCTGGGAAGACCAATGAGGTCTTCTGGGAAGATCTATGACGTCTTCTGGGAAGACCAATGAGGTCTTCTGGGAAGACCAATGCGGTCTTCTGTGAAGACCAATGAGGTCTTCTGTGAAGACCAATGAGGTCTTCTGGGAAGACCAATGAGGTCTTCTGGGAAGACCAATGAGGTCTTCTGGGAAGACCAATGTGATCTTCTGGGAAGACCAATGCGGTCTTCTGGGAAGACCAATGTGATCTTCTGGGAAGACCAATGAGGTCTTCTGGGAAGACCAATGAAGTCTTCTGGGAAGACCAATGAAGTCTTCTGGGAAGACCAATGAGGTCTTCTGGGAAGACCAATGAGGTCTTCTGGGAAGACCAATGAGGTCTTCTGGGAAGACCAATGAGGTCTTCTGGGAAGACCAATGAGGTCTTCTGGTAAGACCAATGAGGTCTTCTGGTAAGACCAATGAGGTCTTCTGGTAAGACCAATGAGGTCTTCTGGTAAGACCAATGAGGTCTTCTGGTAAGACCAATGAGGTCTTCTGGTAAGACCAATGAGGTCTTCTGGTAAGACCAATGAGGTCTTCTGGTAAGACCAATGAGGTCTTCTGGTAAGACCAATGAGGTCTTCTGGTAAGACCAATGAGGTCTTCTGGGAAGACCAATGAGGTCTTCTGGGAAGACCAATGAAGTCTTCTGGGAAGACCAATGAAGTCTTCTGGGAAGACCAATGAGGTCTTCTGAGAAGACCAATGAGGTCTTCTGGGAAGACCAATGAGGTCTTCTGGGAAGACCAATGAGGTCTTCTGGGAAGACCAATGAGGTCTTCTGGGAAGACCAATGAGGTCTTCTGGGAAGACTAATGCGGTCTTCTGGGAAGACTAATGCGGTCTTCTGGGAAGACCAATAAAGTCTTTTGGGAAGACCAATGAGGTCTTCTGGGAAGACCAATGAGGTCTTCTGGGAAGACCAATGAGGTCTTCTGGGAAGACCAATGAGGTCTTCTGGGAAGACCAATGAGGTCTTCTGGGAAGACCAATGAGGTCTTCTGGGAAGACCAATGGTCTTCTGGGAAGACTAATGAGCTCTTCTGGAAAGACCGATGAGATCTTCCGGGAAGATCGATGGGGTCTTTTGGGAAAATCGATGAGGTCTTCTGGGAAGACCCATGAAGTTACCCACAAGGTCTTCTGAGTAGACCCACGAGGCCTTCTAAGAAGACTCATAAGGACTTCGGAGAAGACCCGCGAGCTCTTCTGAGAAGACTCATGAGGGCTTCAGAGAAGACCTATGAGGGCTTCACAGAAGACCAATGAGGTCTTTCGAGGATTAGAAGGTCTTCTGGAAAAAAACAGAAGGTCTTCTGAGAAAACCCAAGAGGTATTCTGGGAAGACTCAGCATGTCAGCTGGGAAAACTTATGTGTTTTCTTGAAAATACCCGCGGTCATCTGTGAAGAAACAGAAAGTTTTCTTGGAAATCTGAATAAGCTTCTGAGAGGACCTAGAAGCACTTCTGGGAACATCTGAGAAATCTTATAGGAATACCTGGTAGGTCTTCTGAGAATACCTGATAAAAGATCTTCTGTGAAGACCCATGAGATCATCTGGAAGAATCAGAAAGTCTGCTGGGAAAATTCGAGAAGTCTTCTGCGAGCTCCTAGAAGCTCTGCTTGCACAACCCGAGAGGTCTTCTGGGAAAACTTGGGTCTTTTATTGAGAAGGCTCGGGAGTTCTTCTGGGTAGATTCATTAGGTCTTCTGGGAAGACCCATGAGGTCATTTAAGAAGAAACCAGATTTTATGAAAAAACTGGAGAAGACTTCTGAGTGGACCAAGAAGCAGAAAGACTCACGACTTCTGAATAGACCCGGAAAGAAACAGACGGTTTTCTTGGAAAACTTGAGAAGTCTTCTGAGAGGACCAAGAAGCTCGTCTGGAAAGATCTGAGAAATATTGTGAGAATATCCGACAGAAGATCTTTTGTGAACAATCATCTGGAAACAATCAATATTTTCTGGGGAAACTGTCGAAGGACCAAGAAGATCTTCTAGGAAGATCCAAGAGGTCTTCTGATGACACAAGCGGTCATCTGGGAAGAATCAGAAGAAAACATGAGAAAACTTGAGAAGTTTTCTGCGAGTTCCTAGATGCTTTTCTAGGAGCACCAGAAAGGCTTCCGGGAAAATCCGCAAGGTCTTCTGGAAAACTTGGATAGATAACGGGAGGAAATCTCAAAAATCTTATTAGAACATCTAGCATATCTTCTCGGAAGAGGGTTTTTGTGAAGACCCGAAATTTTTTCTGGAAAGATAGAGAAGTTTTAGAAGGTCTTCTGGGAAGACTCTAGATATTTTCTGAGATGACCTGGGATGCCACCATGGATACGTCGGGAAATCTGATGAGAAGATCATCATTTAGAAAACATTACACCCTGTTCGGTTGAACTCGCAAGCACTTGATTCAAATGGACCACCAGCACATTTCCAATCAACTCCTGCAGCCTGAATGCCAGGGTATAAAATGCTTTTTGGGATTCAGCCACATTAAACTCAGCATTATCTCCCCAACCCCATTGAAGCACTTATTCAAATTTCTAATGAATTACACTCCTCATTTTGATGAAATGACACTCCCACCCAAAGCCCCCGACACACTTACCTGCAGATGGTACAAAACTTTGCCGTTCGTTCCCTTGTCGCTGTCGTTCGCTTTGACCGTCATCACGAGATAATCCGTCATCGCTAAATTCTAAAACAGAGAATGTAATTAAAACGGCAACAGCGGCATATTAGTTTGATGAGTTGGCTGTTTTTCATTCCCCCTGCTTGGGGGTGGTGGGCATCGTTATCCCGAGCTGATGGCTGACGCCAGATGAATTTGAATGGATTAAAGTTGCATGTCTCCCTCCCCCCGTCTCTCGGCCAGCCAGCATCATGGCGCATCCATACGCTATTTTATATTTTATCGCGCTCGAAAAAGGTCCACAACCAACCGACCAACCAACCAACCGTGTTCCGGCGTAGCGTCGCTTTGAATGGACAGCAATGCCATCACCAGCCTACGGGGCCCCCGGATCAAAACTCCAAACAGGGGGTGCTAATTTATTCTGCATGAGTCTTTCCTTTTCACAGTCATTGCTCTCACACACACACCAAATTGACCACCAGCGACCAGCGATGGAGGCATAGTGTGATCCGTGACGGTTATGGTCACACTTTCCGGCCGGCTACCTTTCGGCGAGTGTATGGCGTGAGCGTGCAAAATGGAGGGGCATTTTATTGTGTGCGGAAATCATAAACAAAAAATAACGAAAAATGAGTGACGTTCATACTGTGACGTACATGGAATTTGAAAGTTGAAGAGAATGATTGTGAGCGAGAGAATTGTGCACCTTTTGGTGAAAATACATATTGAGGTATTGTTTGGAAGATGTATTACCATAGGATTAGAGACTAGCTTTATCCAAGTCAGAAATGTTAGGCTGAAAAGTTGTTGAAGGTATTTTCAATATACATGGAAGATGATCTGAAAATATGTGGAAAATTTGCTTAGAACTCCTGGAAGGACTAAAGACATGGAACATCTGGAAGGTTTAAAGACCTGGAACGTCTTTTGAATAGACTTAGATGATATTTTTCAAAGCTCCAGGATTATAAAGTTTACGATGCTTTCAAGTTCTAAAAATACTAGGGAGATCTTCTAAAACAAGTGGAGAGTGTTCAAACCTGGAAGGGCTCTTTAACCCGTAAAGTGCCAGGACGAACGAATTGTTTTCAACAAACTCGTTCTCAGCAATGCCTCATCCGATTTTCATGAACTTTGGTTTTTATACAAGGGGAATAGTTGAACTAACTTTTGTCGTAGGTACCGCCCCCTTAGAATCCTCCTCGTTCTTGGGAGATGTAAATATGTCTGTGTTTTTTTGTACCTTTTTAACCATGTTGACTAAATGTTTTAAATTTTCACGCGAATCGGTTGTCTGGTGCAGCAAATGATATCAGATAGATGAAATATGATTAGTAAGACTGAATTTAGATATTTCTTTAACATATGGCTACGATATTATCGGTACCCGGAGTCCCAGAAATCGATTCTGTAGGACATAGTAATATCTCAGGCAAACGTATCTTGTGGCATGTCAAATCATGTCAAATAGGTAGAATCAAGTGAATGAAGATGATTTGAGATGATTTTGGCCAGTTTGGCATCGGTTCCGGAACGCGGATCTGTGAATTCCAGCGAACGGTTTGTTGGAATATAATTTCATTGAGGTTATGATATCATATTATGCCAAAATGACAAGGTTTGATCACTGAAATCAGGAGAAAGAGATGGGCAAAACAGTTCAGTTCACAGAACCGTTCCTTGTAGAACCATTCCACATAAAGAACTAGTTCTTTGGAACCGTTCTTCGCTCTTACAGATTTTTTTTTGTTATTTGTTTGTTTGAAAAAAAAAATAGAAATTGCAAACATAAATTTCATTCAATTTAATAATTTCCAAGCAACTTTTTCTTCTAAATAAGACAACCTATATTTTTGAAATCATATTTGAGTTTGGATTGTATTCAATGATTCATATTCGGTGATCGTTTCTACAGTTACATAATACCACGATTTTCTTAAAGGTTATGATTAATGAAAATTATTTTCGAAACGTTCGTGGCCTTCAATCTGCTCCTTCTTTCGTTGACATATCTGTCCTGTTTTAGAAAAAAATGCGTTTGCATGGTACGGAGGTAGCGGGGATGCAAAGAATTTCTTGCATTACAGTATAAAGCTTTGGGTGGATCGATTTCTTCTCACTTGATGCAATTTGCGCGTTGTTCTCTCGAGAAATATTCGATGAGGAGCTCTGTTCGGATGTTGTCTCAGAAACATCGTCTTGGTTACTGGTGCTGCTCCTTTCCATAGGAATCGAAGGGTGTTTGCTTCTCAAATGCCGTTTTAAATTAGCATTGGAACCGGAAGACATTGCTATTGCAGTATGGCAAAACGGCACTTTCCTTTACCATCATCCTGCTTCACAAAATGGTACCAGATGCCACTGACAGCTTTTACTCGACCAGCCATTGTAGATCTAAATACAATTGATTTATCATATTTAAAATTGTATCCGAATTCGTCACTTACTATCCAAAAACAACGATAATATTGAGCACGGAATAGGTATGACTATTAAGTGATTTTTAATTCACACTACGCGAGAAAGAAGAATTCCGTATGGCAGCGAATGGTGTTCTTTTACAATGAATGACGTTTATTCTCACAGCTTCTTACTTCTGTTGAACAAATGAATCAATAATTATTGACAGAGCATAAGCGTTTCGCAATGACGGGGATGCTCTATCTCTTTTCTCCTATAGGAAATTCGTGCGTGAAACATGGCAGACTATTCCTTACTCTGTTGCTCTACTGAAGAAAAAAATCCATGAGGAACTATCACTCTGTGCGTGAAGAACAAATCAAGCTAAACATTGCATTAGGCCCTGAGTAACATTGACAGATTCTCTTTGCATCCCCACGGCCATGTAAAGACATTTCCAGGTATTTTCAGTACACAGACCGATAAAAGAAGCTTTAATCTACCATCTAACACGACAAACACAATAAGAAACGGTTATGTGCTCAAGTTATTAACGGAAGAGAAAGCCGACGAAGACAATCGATTAATGTTACTTAGGACCTAATGCAATGTTCAGCTTGAAATGCCCTCAACGTTAATTTAAAAAATAGAGATAAATGTTAATCCATTCATAACTTCATTATCTGCCGAGCGAACAACGGGAGAACTTATTGTCACAATAGACGAGTGCATGGATGGGTTTGAGTTTACTCACTATCCATTTTATTTTTCAAATGACGGGACGGGACGAATTTTCGCGCAAAAGTGATGTTTTACCTCCTTCTACACACACGCTTATAAGATAAATAAACATCGTTAGAGTAAACATAGTCGCTAGAATGGAAACTATTTTCTATATTTTTACTCAAACAGTGTCCGTCATTTACGTGCATGCGAAAACAAGACCAAACCAAACAATTCTTTCTCTCGTTATCTTGCATGAAACCGAAAATATACCTGCATAGAGAAAAAAAAAATACCCTAAAATTAAGTTCTTTTTACTTAATTTTGGGTAATTTTGAGTTTTGCATCCCACTCTCACTTTTTGCTGTTGTCAAAAACGGAACGAGAGTTTCGACTTTCTCATGACTATCGTTCAATAGGCTACTAGTGAGTATATGAGATATTCTCAAATTTGAGGCAATTGAACTTAATTTTGGGTAGAAAATACATACGAGTAAATTATTATTTTTGCCGTAGCCAAATGCAAACTACTATAAGCGATTTACTGAAAATTAGCTTATTGAACGGAACATGAGAGATGAGTGAACATAACTTAATTTTTGGGTAATTTTACGGTTCCGTGTACATGTCGTTCTCAGTCTTTTCAGTTCATTCTTTCTCGTTCTTGCTCTTCGTTCGTTCTTTCTCGTTCATACCAGGAGTACTCACCACTCAGAACGAACGAGAGCGACATACACTCTTATTGTGAACTACCACTCTAATTCAGAACTTCCGTTCTTTAAAAAAAAGAACTACAGTTCTTTCACTCACTGCCGGGACCTAGTTCTTCTGAACCGTTCGAGAACGAAGCGCCCACCTCTAATGGACACATTGGCATCGGTTCCGGGAAATCCGTGGAATCCGGTTTTATACCCCAAAAGAAGCAAAAACCGCGATAGAGCGGGTGAGAACCAGAGGAGCCATGAACGAAGCCTGTCAACCGTAGTCGGCTCTAGAGAAGCAAGTAAACCGCAATTGCAGACGGGACAAGCGAGTGTGGGTGAATTCCCTCACCGACGAAGGAGAGAATGCCGCAACAACCGACGATATCCACCTCCTCTGCGATATATCACGACGTCTGATTGGAGCAAGGATGAATCCAAAGATGCCTATGAAAGACGCGACTAGACAGTTGCTTACTGATCCCAGTAACCAGCTGAAACGTTGGAATAGTAATATTCACTTTAGCTTGTTATGTTGCACTCCATGGAATGTTTCAGCCAGGACCTACGACAAAAGTTAGTTCAACTATTCCCCTTGAATAAAAACCAAAGTTCATGAAAATCTGATGAGGCATTGCTGAGAACGAGTTTGTTGAAAACAATTCGTTCGTCCTGGTACTTTACGGGTTAAACAACCTAAAAGAACATCTGACTAGATCTAAAAGGTATTTTGAAAAGACTGAAAAAGTATTTTGAAGAACTGGAAGCTCTCCTCCCAAGTTATAATTTTGATTTAATCATGGTTATGCAGAGGCTTAAGTTTAAGACTTGTACTGGAAAGATCAATTTTTTATAAGAATTTTAGCAACCTTCTGGAAGGACTTTTATTTTCCTTTTTAAACGACCGGTAAAGAAGAACTTGCGAACTTGTGTAAGGCTTGAATGACTTGGAAGTATTTTTGAAATTTGTAAACCTGGAAGATCTAATTTATCAAATGCATTGAGCGACACTTAAAAAAATGTGGCATGGAAAAGATCACTTTGGAATCTGTATAGTTCAGAACGGTAATCTGTCTTTGAGTATAAATTGGAGAACAAAATGGTGCTTAAATCACCCCGTATGATCGTTATACCCCTTTTCCCCTATTTCACTGACATACAAACCAACATTTCGATCAATATTAAAAGTAAGTAGCGTCTTCTGATAAGGAAAACACAACTGCCTGTTACATTATCATA